CACAGGGCGAGAGGACCACGTGGTGCGCATGTTATTCAGAGGGGCGGTTGATCTTTGTAGCCGGCTGGAGCTCGAAGGTCTGAAGGTGTCTCGTAAGAAGTGCCAGCTTACGTCGTCGTCCATGAGAATTTTGAAACGTTTGTTCGCCAAGTTGCGGGCGTGGAACTTCCAAGGGACGGACTGCTGGTGTGAAAAACCTCGGAGTGGACTTCTCGGTGAGCAGGCCTAATCGGGCCACCCAAGCACGTAGGCTGGCGTCTGTTAAGCGTAGGGTCCGTCGGTTTCGTCTGCTTAGGTCCGCTCGCAAAGGCTTGAGCAGGATTTTCAGGTCTGGAGGGACCGCCGCGGCTTTTTACGGTGCCAGAGTAGCGGGTGTCTCGACCAGCGCCCTGGAGAGTTTTAGGGCCACGTCGGCCTCGGCGATTTTTGGCCCCGCTGCGGGGCGGTCTCGCGCGTTGCAGTTCGCGTTTTCGGCGGCCCCCAAAACGGATCCCGTTTACGTGGCCGACAGGCTGCCGCTTCAGTTTTGGGGCCGTGCCGTCTTGGAGCAGTGGTTCTCGCCTGTCTTTGTGGCTGGGACCTTCGCCAAGGTTTGCGAAGCCCTCCCTAACAAAGTCTTGGGACCTTGTTCGGCCGTCTTGGCCACGCTGTCTCGCCTAGGCTGGAAGGCCGTGGAGTGGGATCGGTGGGAGACGGCGGGGGGGGGGCGGTGTTCGATCTGCAGCACGTCTGGCCAGGCACGTTAGGCGAGCTGGTGGATCTGGGCACCGAGCGCGTCTTGATTGAGGGGCTGGCGGGTTCGAAGGGGCTCGAATCGCTGCACGGGCCTCCCATGCTCGAGCCTGCGAAGCATGCGCAGGCGCAGTTGTTCCGAGAAGGTTTTAAGGAAGGGGCAGCCTGCCTCGCCTCTCACGTCGCTGGGGGTCTGTAGACGCAGTATCGTTTGTTCCATTCGCGTGCTGCTGAGCCCGCGACTTGCAGAATTTGCGGCCGGTTCTGCCGACCCTGAATGGGGGATCAGGGGTCACAGGACGGCCGCGGACTCTTGGAGGCTTGTAGGGGTCTCTTGGGAGGCCTCTCGGGGCCTCTCGGAAACATGTTTCAAGTCTCGGTGCCTCCTGGGGGCGTGCTGGCGGTCCCAGGGGGTGTAAGTCTAGCGGCCCTAGGCCCAGTTCGCCACCGTGCCTGGGTTGTGGGTCAGAGGCCTCTTGGATGCATATCAGGGTCTCTTGGAAGGCCCCGCGGGGGCCCCATGGATGCAATTTTGAAGCCTCTCCAGGTCTCTTAGGGGCCTCTTGGGGGTCTCTTGGGGCCTCTTGGGTGCTTCTTTGGCGCCTGCTGGCGGTTCGGTTCTTTCGGGGAGAAGGGTTCGAAATGCCAATTCGGGTTCCCCCTCTTGAGCCCCTCTCGGAGACGTCCCTCTCGGGGACGTCTTGGGACCCTCTTGGGCCGTTTTGGGGGCCTCTGAGACCGTCTTGGAGCTATCTTGGGCCATTTCGGGGCCTCTTGGACCGTCTTGGGATGACCTCGGGAGCCTCTTGCGCCGTCTTGGGGCGTCGGAAGCTCAACGAAAGCGATATGCTACACTCATTCAAAACGTATGGGACAACCACGTACTTTTGCCTCTTAGGGCTCTTTTGCGGGCGCTATTGGAGCCCGTTGGTGGCGTCTTGTTTTTTGTTTGGCCGTCTTAAAGAGATCTTGGACCTTCTTGGAACGCTCCTTGGCAATTTGAGATCCCTCTAATATTATCTCGGGCCTGAATTGGTGAAAGAAGGCAGACCTTGCTCGAAGCCGAAGAAGGAAGGGTGGGACCGTATTCAGCCCCCCAGGTGGGGAAGGATTCACAGGGAAGGGGCTTCATTTCGACTCGATTACGACTCACGACCTAGCTCCATTCACCTCGAGCCGACAACGAGCCAAAGACGGTTTCCAGGAGGATTTCCAGGGATGGAAACAGCGAGTCTAATACAAGCGAGAGATCGTTTCCCAGGACCACTCCGTGCTGACTGGCCCAGAGCTTCCTCTCGTATACGCCGGCAGGGTCGGCGGATTGTTGTTCGTGTTTTTTTGGTGATTTCCCACATGGTGTTTGAGCAAGCCCAAGACGGCCTAAGATGCCCCAAATATCCGGGTGCCACCGGTGGTCCAGGTGGGCCCGAAGACGGCTCGGAGCCTCGTCCGAGGTGGTTCCAAGAGGATCCCTCCAAACCATCCAAATCGTGACTTAGCCGTTGAGGGCAAGCGTGGTTGGCAACAATATTGCCTTCAGACGACACCAGAAGACCTTCAGAAGGCCTCAAGAGGCCCACAAGAAGCCCCCAGGAGGCCTATCCAGAGGCCCCCACGAGGCTCCCAAAGAGATCACAAGCGAAAAATGTTTCGGCGTGGTGGCAGTGGGAGGGGTGATCACCTCTCCGAAGGTGCAGAATGAGTTGCTGTGGATGAGCTGATCTGGCGGTCCTCTTACGCCCAGACGGCAGGTTTGATCTTTGTATGTTTTGTGGCCTCGGTGGCCGTCTGGTACCCTGCGTGTCCCCTGTCCAGCTCGGCAGGTAACCAGCCCAGTCAGCCAGACCAGCCCAGTCAGCTTGGAAAGCCCAGCCAGCACAGTCAGCCTGGCCATCCTAGTCAGCCCAGCCAGCCCAGACCCAAGTCAGGTAGCTTCGGAAGCCCATCAGCCAGCCCAGCCAGCCCAACCAGCCAAATCGCCATCATGTACTTGCTGGCTTCAGGTCATGTCGTGTATGCCAGCGGTGTAGTCCATATAACGCACGGAGGCTGGGGAACCTGTTGGCCGAGCTCCATCATCCTCGGGAGCGTTTTGCGGGCGCGCGCGCGGGGCGAGCGTGTTGGGAGCTCCATCATCCTTCTCGGGGCTTCGGCCAGAGTTGGGGTCTCGGGGGGTTTGAGACCCTCGTAGTCCCCTGTCTCGCCCGTCCCGAGGACGCCGACGTCGATAGTTGATTCCTCAGTGCATGTAGCACTCCTATCTAGTGGCTTTGGCAAGATACCTTGTCCTCCGCGAGGCTGCACCTGCACTTCGACGGGCGGCGTTACGAGTGGCTGGACCTGGACGACGAGAGCGCTCAGGCGCTCGCCCAAGACGACAACCTGCTGGCCACGCTCAGGGAGAACATCTGCTTCTATTTCGGGGTCCCCCCTGGGCACCAGCAGCTGCGCGATCAGCACGGTGGTCGTCTTCTCGCGACAGACCACGATGTCCAGTGGATGCGCGCGACGGCGAAGGTAGGCGGGCACATGCCTTGCATTCTGCTGCAGGACATGCGCGACGGAGGGCCTCCCGAGGAGCACCCTCCTTCTGCTGAAGGCGGCGCGGTCTGCGCAGGGGAGGGCACGGGCGCGCAGACCCTCGAGCAGCTCTACCCATGCCGCGATGACACCGCCGGCCTGTCGGAGCCTGTGGCCGCAGCGGAGCCCCAGCCGTCCTCCTCGGGCAGCCCGGCCGCGCAGCCGCCGCCGCCGCGGCTCGGCCCCGGCAGCCTGGCCGCGGAGTCGCCGCTCGCCTGCGGCAGCCAGCGCTCGACGGCCGCCGCGAGCATCCGGCCGCTCGCCTCGGGCTGCAAAGCGGCGGGGCCGCTGCCGCTCTGCGGCCAGAGCCCGGCGGCCGCTGGGGGCCCACAGAGCCGCCCTCCGCACGGCGCCCCGCCGCTGGCGCCGGCGCAATCGGCGGCGATCCGCTGCGGCAGGTGCACCGTGGAGATGCGCTGGAGCTGCCACTCCGGCGCAGGCTACGAGCGTGGCTGGTGGTGCTCGAGGTGCCGCCGAAGCGGCGGTGGCGGAACCTTCAGGTGGTTCTGCCGCGGCTGCGAGGACGACGTTTGCGGCGCCTGCCACCCTGGCCCGCCGCCCGCACCGCCACTCTGGGGCGAGGCCGCGCTCCGCGAGCCCGTCGCTGGCGCCTCTTACGGCGAGCACGTGGCGGATGCTCCGCACCCTCCCTCTATGCGCGGCGGCGGCCTGCGCGGCGTTGTGTCTCCGAAGTCGCCCCTGGGTTGCTCAGCGCACGGCGCCCGCCCGCGCGCGATGCTCGGCCTGCTTGGTGTCCCCGCCAGGCCGCCGGCCCACCTGGGAGCCTCAGGAGCTCCGCCCGCGCCGGCCGAGGGCCCTGTCGCCGGGCTACCTCTGCCCCGACAGGCGCCGCCGGTGGTGCCCTGGCCGCACGCTGCTGAGCCAGGGTGTATCCGTGGTTGTCAGAGCCACACGGGTCAGCCAGATGTGCCTGCTATCTCTCCGGTGGCTGGCGAGCTGAAGCAGGCTGTCACTCTCGGGCCCCAGCTCAACGCAGACCCACCACGGATCCAGCCAGCTGCGGTCCAGCCGCAGCTCGCTGGCAGCGCGCCAGGAGAAGAGCTTCCTCTGCCATTGCCGGCGAGTTTGGCGCAGGCTGCGACGTCACCGGGGCGGTGGGCTGCGTCACCGTCGTTAATGGTGCCTTGGCCGCAAGCTGAGCCAGCGGCAATATTGAGCGTGGAGGAGCGGATCACCAAGTTGCGGGCGGAAGGCTGCCAGCAGGTCCAGACCGTGCGAGACGAGGTCCAGCTGGCGATGCCTAAGGAGCGGATCACCAAGTTGCTGGTGGAAGGGTGCCAACAGGTCAGGACCGTGCAGGAAGCGCCCTGTTATGTTGGGTCCTCGTTTTGAAGAGACAGCGCCCCGCGTTCCTCACTCCTCGTCGCCCTCCTCCCTCCTCCCATCCCTGCCACTGCCCTTTGCATGCCGTTCGGCACGCCCCTCACACGTTGCGTGGCCCCATAGGGAGCTCCACCGAAGGCCTCCATGGTGAGTTCGCATGCGCCCGCCCGGCCCACTTCGGTCCCCCCCATCACACGTTTTGTGGCCCCATTTGGAGCTCCACCGAGGGCCTCCGAGGTGAGCTCGCATGCGTCCGCCCGACCCACTTCGGCACATCCCTCGCACGTTTCGTGGCCCCACAGGGAGCCCCACCGAAGGCACGCGCCCGCTTGACCCACTTCGGCACACCCCTTACACGTTTCGTGGCCCCAGAGGGAGCTCTACTGGGGGCCTCCGTGGTGAGTTCGCATGCGTCCGCCCGACCAACTTCGGAACACCCGTCACATGTTTCGCGGCCCCACAGGGGGCTCCCCCGAGGGCCTCCGTGGTGAGTTCGCATGCGTCTGCCCGACCCATCTCGGCACACATTTCCGATGTGTCGTGGTTCCCCCCCCTGAGGGCCTCCGAGGTGAGTTCGCATGCGTCCGCCCGACCCACTTCGGTCCCCCTTCACACGTTTCCCCACAGGGAGCTCCCCCGAGAGTCTCCGTGGTGAGTTCGCATGCGTCCGCTCGACCCATGTTGGCACACCGTTCTCACGTTTCGTGGCCCCACAGGGAACTCTACTGAGTGCCTCCGTGGTGACTTCGGATGCGCCCGCCCGACCCATGTCGGCACACCGTTCACACGTTTCGTGGCCCCACCGGGAGCCTTACTGGGGGCCTCCGTGGTGAGTTCACATGCGTCCGCCCGATCAATTTTGGAACACCCCTCATATTTTCCGTGGCCCTAGTGGGAGCTCCGGCGAGGGCATCCGTGTAGTGCGCTCGCATGCGTCTGCCCGATCCATGTCGCCACATCCCTCACAGTTTTCATGACCTCACAGGGAGCTCCATCGAGGGCCTCGCTGGTGACTTCGCATGCGTCCGCCCGATCGATCTCGGCACACCACTCACACGTATCGTGGCCCTATCAGGGGGCTCCACCGAGGGCCTCCGTGGTGAGTTCACATGCGTCTGCCAGATCTATTTCGGCACATCCCTGACATTTTCTGTGGCCCAACGGGGAGCTCCATCGATGGCCTTTGTGTTGAGTTCGCATGCGTCCGTCCGACCCATTTCGGTACACCGCTCGCACGTTTCGTGGCCCCAGAGGGAGTTCCCCCGATGGCCTCCGTGGTGAGTTCGCACGCGCCCGCTCGGCTCACTTCGGCACACCGATTACATGTTTCGTGGCGCCAGAAGGGGTCTCTCCCGAGGGCCTCTGTGGTGAGTTCGCACGCACCTCCCTTCGGCACACCCCTCACACGTTTCGTGGCCCCAGAGGGAGCTCTACCGGGGGCCTCCGTGGTGAGTTCGCATGCGTCCGCCCGACCCACTTCGGCACACCCTTCGTGGCCCCAGAGGGGGCTCCCCCGAGGGCTTCCGCATGGTAAGTTCGCACGCGCCCGCTCGACCCATCCTTCACACGTTGCGTGGCCCCAGAAGGGGGCTCCACCGAAGGCCTCCATGGTGAGTTCGCATGCGCCCGCCTGGCCCACTTCGGAACACCCCTCACACGTTTCGTGTCCCCAGAGGGGGGCTCCCCCGAGAGCATCCGTTGTGAGTTCGCACGCGCCCGCTCGATTCACTTCGGCACAACTTTCACACGTGGCCCTAGGATGAGGGCTCCCCCGAGGGCCCCCGTGGTGAGTTCGCACGCGCCCGCCTGACCCACTTCGGCAAACTCCTTACACGTTTCGTGGCCCCAGATGGGGGCTCCCGCGGAGGCCTCCTTGGTGAGTTCGCACGCGCCTGCCCGACCCTTTTCGGGACACATCTCACACGTTTCGTGGCCTTCTCAGGGTGCTCCCCCGAGGGTCTCCGTGGTGAGTTTGCACGCGCCCGCCCGACCCACTTCGGGGCAGGCCTCACACGTTTCGTAGCCCTATTAGGGGGCTCCCCCGAGGGCCTCCGTGGTGAGTTCGCCTGCGTCCGCCCGATCTACTTATAGACACCTCTCACACGTTTCGTTGCCCTACCAGGGGGCTCCCCCGAGGGCCTCCGTGGTGAGTTCGCACGCGCCCGCTCGACACATTTCTGGACATTTCTTACACGTTTTGTGGCCCCAGAGGGGGCTCCCCCGAGGGCATCTGTGGTGAGTTCGCCTGCGTCCGCCCGACACACTTCGGCACATCCCTCACGTTTCGTTGCCCTATCAGGGGGCTCCCCCGAGGGCCCCCGTGGTGAGTTCGCACGCGCCCGCCTGACCCACTTCGGCACACTCCTTACACGTTTCGTGGCCCCAGAGGGGGCTCCCCCGAGGGCCTCCGTGGTGCGTTCGCACGCGCCCGCCCGACCCGCTTCGGCACACCCCTCGCACGCCTGGTGGTCCCAGAAGGGGGCTCCCCTCGGGGCCTCCGTGGTGAGTTCGCCCGCGCCCGCCCGACGCACTTCAGCACGCCGCTCACACGCCTGCGTCCGCCCGGCCCATGTCGGCACCCACGTGCGCTCCGGTGGAAAAAATGAAGATAATAATTGAGCTTCACCGAGGGCATCCGTGGTGACTTCGCACCCGCATGCCCGACCCATTTCGGGACACTCTTCATTCGTTTTGTGGCTCCAGAAAGGGGACTCCCACGAGAGCCTCCGTGGTGACTGTGCCCGCGCCCGCCCGACCCACCTCGGCACACCCCTCGCACGGTCCGTGGCCCCAGAAGGGGGCGGGGCCAGGCTCGCGCACCCCTCCTGGTGTCGCTCCTCTCGCTGCCCAGATCCCCTACGCCCCCCCCCTTGCCCGCGCCGCCCCGCGCCTCGTCCTTCCTGCGGCGTGCGGCCTATGAGAGCAGAGGCCATACCCCGTGCTTCGGAGGTCGCGTGCCCCCCCTCCCTCGTCTCACCTCCCCCGGCGGCACTCGCAGGCGCAGATGGGCGGGTCGCTCGCTGGGCTCCTCCCCTAGGTGGCCACTGGCATGTCGTGAGAGGGCTCTCTGATGGGGTTGGACGAAGAGAGAAAAGGTTCCCACAGCGTGTCGCTTCAGACGCCCTCGCAATTTTGCGCTGGAAGCGTGCTCTCGCCTGAATGCCGGCCTCATTTTTGGCCCTGACGGCCACGATCCCCAGTTAAAAAACCACTGCGGTGCACATGGCCGTGCTACCGCTTCAACGCTGGCTGCATTTGTGGTACGGGCGGCCAGGCCCTGCCCCTGTCCCAGCTGCTCTCGCCCCTGTCCCGCCTCGTCACCCTTGCTGTTAGTGCAGTCGAGCTCCCGAAAAGTGGGCCCTCGTTTCTCAACCAACTTGCCAGGACACTGGCCCAGCTTCTTTTGCGCACGTTTTCCCCTCCAGCGTTCACAGAAGCAGTTGGCCCAGGCTCATGTTAAGACACTTCTGGGAGGCTGGCCCGGATTTCTGAAACGATGAGTTTCTTGATCGTATTCTCGGCTATAGCAACCGCCCCCCCAAGGTCCCCGCCACTGGGCCGCCTGTGCCCAAGCCGCCGTCGTCGGCAGCGCTGCCGCCGACGCGCGCCGCCGGGCCCCTTGCGCCGCCGCCAGGGGCGCCCTGGCGGCCGCCCGCCAGCGCAGAGGCCGCGGCGGCGCTCCTGCCGCCCGCGGCCGCGGCGCGGTCGTGGGCGCGCCCTGGGAGCGCCGAGCGGCCCTCGCGTCGGGAGCCCCCGTGGCGCCCAGCGCCGAGCGCCCTCGGAGCGCCATCGGCGGGGGGCCGGGGGGTGGGGGCTGCTCAGAGGAGGGCGAGCCGAGACAAGGGTCATCGGCCTCCAGAGGGCCCCCTCGTCGCCACGGCGGGGCGCGGCTCGGAAAACTGGTGCGCCAGGGCCGAGGGAAGGGCTGTGGGGGCCGATCTTGAGCTGCCGTCGTCTCCACTCGCCCTGCCTCGAGCTGCGGGGTGGTGGCTGGCCGCTCCTCGTGTCGGACGCACAGGGGTGGTCAGGGGAAGAGGGGTCACGCAGTCTGCTGCGAGCAGCTGGCTTCGGCTCCGCCGCCGGGCGTTCTCCTCGTTGCGTTGGCGCCTCTGGCGCTGGGAGGCACCAGAAGAAACCTGCTGCGTGCAGCTGATTCCCTCTCCTCTGTTTTGACTCATATGCTTCATCGCGCCTCGACGGCTGAACCTGGCTCAGGAACTGTGCAGCAGTGTGCATGAGGCTTGCGGCATTCGCCTCTCGTCTGGGGAGCACTTCGCTCCAGGGTCATGCCTAACTGACTCTCTGGTCGTCACCCAGAGGCTGCGCGGAGTTGTTTGTTGTTACTTGTTTTGTGCTGTGTTGCTCCTCTTTGTGCATACATACACGTGTGTACACATACATATGTATACATACACATGTATATGTCTATGACTCATGCCATACATACATACATACATACATACATGCATACATATATATTGCGCATCGTATCATATCATATCATGTCATATATATAGCATGTATTTAATGTCACGTGGATATATATATATACATAATATATATATATATATATATCATGTACCATATCGTATCATGGCATATATATATACACATGATAGAACATCTACCCTTCCCCCTCTGTCATCCCCCCTTTTCGTCTGCCCCGGCACTCCAGGGACGGCGGGGAGCTCCGCCAGCTCCGCGGCAGGGGCGCGGAAGCTGCACACGCCTCTCTGCTGCGCGGGCCCACCCTTTGCGCCTGTCCCTCTTGGAGGGGGGATGACGTGAGAGCGCGGAGCTAGTCGAGCCTCGCGGCGGGCGGCATTGTCAGAAGGCCGTGCTTTCTCTTAGAAGGATGCCACCCCTGAAGAACTTGACGCCCCGCGACTTCTGAGGACTGGCAAGCCTTCAGAACAGACCGCCCCGCTGGACTCTGCTCCCCTGGGCGTTGCAGGTGGAGGCAGACCCATCCAGGGAGTGGGGAGCTCATGTGGAGATACTGATGGTTGGTGGCGACTGCAGTGATGGCGATGGGCCGTGGCATGGTGTATAGACAGTTTGGCCTCGGCCCCGAGCGCTTAGACACTATCCCACGGCCCAGGTGCCTTCTGCGTAGAAGAGGTGGAGGAAGAGTAGGAGTAGTATGAGGGGAATGGTGATGATGATGATGATGATGATGATGATGATGATGATGATGATGATGATGATGATGATAATGATGATGATAATGATGATGCTGCTGATGATGATGCTGCTGATGATGATGGTGGTGGTGGTGGTGTTGGATGGTGACGATGGTGGTGATGATGATGTTGATGATGACTGTGGTGATGATGATGATGATGAGGAGGAGGAGGATGATGATGATGATGATGATGATGATGGCGGTGGTAATGAGGATGACCATGACGGGTGTTCTTAAAATTCACCCATAAGCATAATGGGAGCCGCTGGTCATTAGCACAGGTGGCCATGGTCCAGCCTGACGTGGGGCTGGGGGGAATTCTGTACAAACGGTTCCTTTTGTACAAAATTTGACTCTCCTCTTTTTCGGGTTCTTGTGCCGCTGCACAAAGTTGTTGTCTGGCTTTGGTGGTGCTATGGATTAGCTGCTGCTGCTGATGACGAGAACAACGCCGATAATGACGAGGATGATGACACTGCTGCTGATGACGATGACGATGACGATGACGATGACGATGACGATGATTATGATGATGATGATGCTTATGATGGTGATGACGATGATGACGATGACGATGCTGATAATCATGATGACTCTGTGTATTTTGATTACAGCGATCATGATGATGATACTGATGCTGCTTCTGATGACGATGCTGCTGATGATCATTTTGATGATAAGGTGATGGCAATGATGATGATGACGATGCTGGTCATGATGATGATGATGATGATGATGATGATGATGATGATGAGGATGACGATGATGATGCCGATGATGCTCATGATGCTACTGTTGATGCTAATTCGGATGATGACGATGGCGATGATGACGACGATTCTGATGACGATGATGCTGATGATGCTGATGATGCTGCTGATGATGAGGACGAGGATGAGGATGCGGATGATGACGATGACGTCGAGGATGACGATGACGACAGTGACGATGACGATGATGATGATGATGAGGATGATGATGATGATAATGATGGTAGCGGTGTTGGATGGTGACGATGGTGCTGATAATGATGATGACGATGGTGATGATGATGATACTGATATTAACAACGATGCTGATGACTGTGATGATGCTGATGATGACGACGATGCTGCTGATGATGATGCTGATGATGCTGATTTTGTTGATGATGTTGACGATTCTGATAGTCATGACGTAGAGGACGACGATGACGATGTTGATGATGATGATGACGATGGCGATGATGATGATGATGATGCTGATGCTGATGATTAAGATGGCTGTGATAATACTGGTGATTCTGATGCTGATGCTGATGATGATCATGATGATGATGATGATGATGACGTAGACGATGATGATGATGATGATGATGATGATGATGATGATGATGATGCTGACGATGTTGAACTTTACCCATGAGCGTAGTGGGAGCCTCTGGTCATTAGCACAGGTGGCCATGGCCCAGCTCTGTAGAATTTTCCATCCTCTTTCTCGGACATTTGTGCCGCAGTCGCGTCCCACTGACCATCTCCTGCCTGACACAACATCGTTCCCTGGCTTTGGTCGTCCTTTGGATGACGATGCTGCTGCTGCTTTTGGCGATGATTATGTCAGTGACGACGAGAATGATGACATTGCTGCTGATGGCGATGACGATGACGATCACGATGGCGATGACGGTGACGGTGATGATGCTGATGACGATGATGTTGATGATGTTGTTGATGATGATGTTGACGTTGATGTTGTTGATGAGGGTGATGAAATAGATTATGATGGTCATGGCGATGATAACGATGACGATGCTGATACTTATGATGTCATTGGGTACGTTCATTCTGGCGATCATGATGACGATGATGATGACGATGGTAATGATGCTGATGATGATGATTTTGATGATGATGATGAGTTAATGGAGGTGATGACGATGATAATGCTGACGATGCTGGTAATGATGACGGTATCGTTGATGATGATTAAGACGGTGATGACGGCGATGGTGGCGACGATGGTGACGATGATGATGATGACGATTATGACGTAGAAGATGACGATGATGATGATGACGATGCTGATGACGATGACGATGACGATGACGATGATGATGACGAAGGTGATGATACTGATGCTGCTGCTGATGATGATGATGCTGTTAATGATGATGGTACTGATTTTGTTGTTGTGGTTGTTGTGGTTGTGGTTGTGGTTGTAATTGTTGTCGTTGCTTGCTGGGTGTTCCTTCCTTGTTGTTTGTTGTTTGGTGTTTATTATCTACTGTTGTTGTAGTTGCTGATGTTGTTGATGTTGTTGATGATGTCGATGATGTTGCCGTTGTCGATGTCGTCGTCGTTGTTGTTTTTGTTGTTGTTGCTGTTATTGTTGTAGTTGTTGTCGTCGTCGTTGTTGTCGTTGTTGCTGTTGTTGTTGTTGTTGTTGTTGTTGTTGTTGTTGTTGTTGTTGTTGTTGTTGTTGTTGTTGTTTTTGTTGTTGTTCTTGTTGTTGTTATTCTTGTTGTTGAATTCTCATTCCTGAAGAAGAATTGCTGTTGCCCCCCCAAAACGGTGCACTTTGCATTTTCATTTTTCAATGGAAGTGCCCTTGTCGGGGCTCACACCTTGTTTAATCACGGGAAACTCTTCCTGCTCAAACTGTGCCTTTCGCCCCCCAGCTACAGCAACAACGGCTCCCGTCTGATAGTTCCTCACAATGTATTCCGAAGTCGTGCTCTCGCGCGGGATTTCCGCACAATTCATGCAAGAATCGCGCTCTCGCGTGGGACGTCCTCGCAATTTATTCAAACGCCGCGTCCTCGACGTTCAGAGTTCCCGCGATTCACTTGGGAATCGCGCTGTCGCTCGAGATTTCCTCGAGATTCGTGCACGCTTAAGCAACCCGCCTGCTCGACCTGGCCGCCCAGGCCCGCCCTTTGACCCGCCCGCTCGGTGCTGTCCGCCCGATCGGCTCGTCTGGGTCTGCCAGGTGTTTTCTGCTCCTCGCCTCCCTCCTGCTATCTTCTCTCGTGCTCCACCCTCCTCCCTTCTCCTTCCATCTGTCCTCTCTTCCCTTGGTTTAGGTGCTGCACGAAATACACGTGGCAGGTAAGGAGGATATGCCCGCAAGGGGGGTACGATCGAAGACGAAGAGGGCGTTACCAAGGATTTGGGATATACGGGTTGAGTGGCACGCGAGCGGATAAGAGCGAACAGTTGTATATTTGAGCTTTCACTTTCGAAGAATGATCATTGTTGATCCCCCCTCACCGGTGCATGTTGTTTTTTCTCAGTCAAAACGTGCCCCTCGACACTCGCACCCTGTTTTTTGACAGGGAAAGTCTTCCTGATCAAGCTGTGCCCCTGGCCCCACGGACTACAACAGCAACGGCCTCCGCCTGAGACTTGCTCCAAATTTACTCAGGACCCCCCCCTCCCGTCTGAGACTTCCTCCAAATTTGCTCAGGAACGGCGCTCCCGCTTGAGACTTCCTCACAATTTAGTCCGGG